GCTGCCGGTGGAGTCGCACCTGCTGGGGCGCCTGGAGGGAGGCTGGACCGGAACACCACGCGCGTCCCTTTCATTCCGAGTCCACGTTGCCTTAGTTTGCTCAGGCAGCTCTAAGAGAGGATGGCAAACTGGTGCCTTAACACACACAGACCGGCTCGCCATCCCCACCCTGTCTGGGCGTCCTGCATGCAGGGGTCGGCACGTCCCCTGGCGGCTGTGAGGGAAGAGGCTCTCCCACCGCTCTCCTCGGCTGACGGGGCTGTCTTCCCCCCGGGGCCCCACAGTGACTCCCTCCGTGCATGTCTGCGTCCGAGGCCCCTTCTCACGGGGACTCCGGCTCATATTGGACTCAGGGCCACTCTGCTCCGGTGTGACCTCAACCTGGGCACGTGTCCCGACCGTTAACTGTTAAAAATGAGTTAAAAACTATTTCTTAGTGGAGTGTTGGGTTAGGCCTGCAGCATTGAACCTGGGGGATGCAGTAAGTCTGTCACATGTCACCAGAAAGCCTGCCTCCCCAGTGGGAAGCTGGTGTCATTGATTCTGGCACCTGTCCGTTTTTCCTTCCAGGGAGCATGCAGGGTTGTCTGAGCCCAGGACAGCCAGGCCAGAGTTCGAGGCGGGAAGGGGAAGGCGCCCGGGCCGATCTTTGCAGAAGGCGCATCAGACAGAGCCAGTGGCATTGGGCGGCAGGAGGAGGGTGTGGTGGGGGAACGGCGGTCTCCAGGGCATCGCCCGCTGGCGCGGCCCCACGTCCTGTGTGGACGGCTCCCTGTGCGGCAGGTGCGGGGACACAGAGCTGGACCAGGTCTGCGATGCCGAGAGGCCCCTGAGACGGTCAGGCAAGCTGCCCACAGCTGGCCGGTCAGGGTTGTGCACACAGAGGCCTCTCGGCTGAGTGTCAAGGAGCAGCCGGAAGCCCTGGGGCTGCAGCTAGACTTCCCCATGAGCTCCCAGGTCTGGGGAGCCGGGTAACGAGGAGGGGCCAGGCCCCGCCCTTACTCGGGAGCCTGTGAAGTTAGGAGCTTCGGTGGGAAAGCAGAGTTGGAGAGGCCAGGGCGGGCTCGGGGTCACACAGAAGCCGTAGGTGGCGGAGCTGGCCTCTCCCCCAAGGGCCTGGCGGCTCAAAAACAGGGTGTTTCCCTTCCACAGTGAGGTGCAGGGAGACGGCTGCACTTCGGTCCTCCCCCACCAGCAGAGGGTGCTCTTAGCGGGCACGGGGCGGGCGGGCACTCAGCGGGCAGGCAAGGCCTCTCGTGGCTCCATGACCGTCCTCGTCCCCTTCCCTTCCCAGGGGCCTCGTGGACCGCCCGGATTACCTGGACCTCTTGGAACCAAGGTACGTGTTCACCTGAGCACGCCGTGGGCGCCAGGGCCACACTTGTAAAATGTCGTTGTCAGCCTCTCTAGTCACGTCATCCCACCTCCAGGCTCCTCGTCCATCACCTCCCTCTTGATGGGCCTTTGGGAGAATGTTCTATTTTTTTCTAATTGATGAGGGTCCTCAGGTGCAGAGAGGTCATGGGACTTACTCAAGGTCATAGGACCCGCTTGACATTGTCCCGAGCCTGGACCTAGAGGCAGCCGACTGCCCGCTTGAGGTCTCCCTACCTGACCTCCCCCCGCCCCCACCCTGTGCACAGCTCCGATCCGTCATTCTCAGTTCATTGCTCTTGCTTCCGTCTTTGCCTTATTTCCTGACTTCCCTCTGCGCCCCTTCCCCACCCACACCAGTTAGATGTTCTAGCAGCCCAAGCGTCCTGCACGTCCCAGAATCAGTCAGACCACGTTATTCTAAAGAAACAGCGCTGCCCAGCCAGCGGCGTGGCTCAGTGGTTGAGCGTCGACCCATGAACCAGGAGGTGAAGCCGTAGGTGGCGGAGCTGGCCTCTCCCCCGAGGGCCTGGCGGCTCAAAAACAGGGTGTTTCCCCTTCCACAGGAGGTGCGGGGAGACGGCTGCACTTCGGTCCTCCCCCACCAGCAGAGGGTGCTCTCAGCAGGCATGGGGCGGGCGGGCAAGGCCTTTCGTGGCTCCATGACCATCCTCGTCCCCTTCCCTTCCCAGGGGCCTCGCGGACCGCCCGGATTACCTGGACCTCTTGGAACCAAGGTACATGTTCACCTGAGCACGCCGTGGGCGCCAGGGTCGCACTTGTAAAACTTCGTTGTCAGCCTCTCTGGTCACGTCATCCCACCTCCAGGCTCCTCGTCCATCACTTCCCTCTTGATGGGCCTTTGGGAGAACGTTCTATTTTTTTTCTAATTGATGAGGGTCCTCAGGTGCAGAGAGGTCATGGGACTTACTCAAGGTCATAGGACCCGCTTGACATTGTCCCGAGATTGGACCTAGAGGCAGCCGACTGCCAGCTTGTGGTCTTCCTCCCTGCCCCCCCGCCCCCC